GATAATTGATTGTCATACCTGAGGGACAAAGCACCTGTGGAACCATTTCAGGAATATACTGCTAGTCATCCAAGCGGTTTTTGAACAGTCATAATCAACAGGGATATTAATATTTTTAAATGAGCGCGGAATTTTTGCTTTCCCAATTACCAGTGGCTTTATTTTGTGTGAACCATTAGCATTAGTGCAGGCTAGAAACGTTATTCGTTGTTTCTCCGGCTTTCTTCCCGGGGCAGATTTTTCAAATGATGCAGCATAGGTTTTCTCTGGTAACATTTTCCAATAAAGGCCACTTTCATCTGCGTTGTAAATTTGTTCCATTCTTAAATCTAGCTCGGTACTCCCCGACGCCCGACATAAATCATCGAGGCTTTTACCGTCGCGCTGTTTCCGTGCGCCGAGAGTTGCTTACGTTATCTAGCGTACACATTGTTTACGTTATCGCGCGTTCCGTTTGATTCTAAAGAACAAAGTTTGTGTTTACATTAGCGCAAGTTTTCATTATCCCGTGTTTACGTTATCGAGCGTCTGCTGTATGTACTTTGCAAATGCTTCACATGGGGTTTTTCTGCAATTAGTCATGCATTGCTAATAATTTGCTACCTAGCAAAGGGATTCAAAGCTGTATTGTTACGATTTTCTTTTGTATAACAACTTGATGGTATCTTATGTACATAGTGACTCAGTGACATACAAAATGCAACACCCGGAATTATTTATTGAATTTTGATAAAAACTTTTAAACATATTTGCTATCCGCGAAGTACACGCTGATAAAATGTTGAAGGCATTTGTTTTTGTAAAGGATTTTTTTTCCATATCAGGATCTGAACAATATGAGCCTGTTTACTTAAAGGCGGGTACTCATTAATCAATCGTATTGATCAATAATAATGAATCTGTGCCATTGAACATAGAATTGAATGGTAAATTTGATCACGCTGATCCATGAATATTGAATATTCACTCTATAATCTGGTTTAAAAATGGCTCTAAGGCGAAAAATTGTGCGTGCTGGCGTTCATATTGTTATTACGGTCAGTCACTGTTCAATTTACTTGAATCATTTCCGTAAATCCACGAAAAGTATAAATGTGATTCACTTTTATAGAAACGCGAGTTATGTTGCTGTCATTTAACACTTTATTAATTGATATAATAATTGCATTGTATTCCTTTTTACTAGCTCATCACTTTTAGTTTATATTAACGATTTTATCTTAATTATGAGTCAGTAATTTAATCTCAGTCACAGCGAACACACACGCTGTAATTCCGGTTCGGTCCATGTACAATATTGTTGGAACCAAGTTTTTTAAAAATGAAGTTCCGACTACAATTCGCGAATCGATAGAACAATATGGTTGAACGTAGATTCATTACTATTGATCAATAAAATTGACCAATGAGAACGCGGCTGTATATTCAGTGATTTTTTCTGTGTTGGTTCCAGTTGTTTCATTGTTGTTTCATTGCATTATCATGCCTAGAGTTCGCAGACGCGCTAATTTCCCTCAACTTTCCGAGTTTGAGGGGGGTCGGAAATCGGATTACGTGAAGCCGGATTTTCTTTTGGAGAAATCGCTAATCAGGTGAATCGAAACGAAGCTACCGTAATGAAATGTTGTCGAACATGGTTCGAAGAAGGCCGAGTTTATCGCCGAATAAGGACTTTTGGACTGTTTCCATACTGTCCCTATCTTAAAAATCTTAATCGCTTTCTATTTATCGGTATATCTAAATCTTGTAAAAGTATGCTCAAAATTACAGTCGGTGTTGCAATTTCTATGTCATTTAGTATATTTGAGAAAAATTGCTTCGAAAAGAACTACATATCTATAATTCACATACTTTCGCTTCTACGTATTTAAATAACATTAATTTTACGCATTTATACAATCATACAGGGTGATACAAAGTATCACATTTATCCTCCTAAATTTTTATTACTACATTGATGTATTGTTTTCTAGATTTGTCTCTACAAAATTTGCTCGATATCTTATTAGAAAAGATGCAAATGAGTATGAAATATTTGGGGAAACGGATCCTACGACTGTGTATTCGGAAAACAGTACACTGAATACAGAGGGGGACATATTTAGACATTAAGTATTAAAGCATAAACCGGAAGATCGTTGAATCTGCACAAAATGAACCATGATTGTCAAGTTTCTCAGTGGACTGTTGTCCAACCTCTCAAAACAATTATGTTTTCTGCAATCCTACTGGTAAACTGTGTTTCCATATAGTTTATCAATTACTTGCTCATATACAGGGTGTCCCATTTTCGATGATATAACAGGACTCACTTACTAGTAGAGATAGAGAGTTGTGGTTTTAGCAATTTTTTGCTAATTTTTGTGAAAAAAAGATGATATAAACAAAATTTCCATAGCCCGCTTCGAATGTGAGATACAGGGCGAAATTGAAAATATCTCATTTTGGAACCCCCGCCGTTATCCTTTATCATATATCGCAAAGCTATAAACTGGCTTTTACACAATTTTTCACGTAGAATCCAGTGGCGCAGTCATAAGGGGGGTTTCGAAAAGCAATGTTCTCGAATTCGTCCTGTATCACAGAAACGAAGACAGCTATGAAAATTTTATTTATACCACGAAAACCGCAACTCTATATCTTTCCTCATAATGAAAATGGGACACTCTGTACACCTGATATTTTATGCCTTAGGAACCGCAGTCCAAAATATTCAACGCTAAATCCGCACCACTGTATAATTTCTTACAGGGTGCGTGAGAAATTCAGCTACCACAAAATGTAAATATCTTCATTGTATCACCCGGTCCGGAAATCTTCAGGAATGCGAATTGTCATTCACAAACATACGATTTCCCTCAAAAATATATAAACTTGAACACATTAGCAGACTGACTGGGACTACCCACTAAGCATGCACAATCGTTTAGGGATGAGTGTTTATCAGAAAGCAGTTCCGTCATGTCGGAAACATCGAAATCGGATACTCACCCCTACAGATGTCACCATCTCTTGCCAATGGGATCGAACAAACGTTTATTCTTACATTTTTCATGCATGTTACTAGAGCCAACTTTCGAAAACTCATCAAAGTATTTCCGAATTTTACCGAAGACGCTTCTAGTCGAGCAATATTTTTCGCATTGCGACTAGCCAGCAACATTGCTATACTACAACTATTTAAAACTGTAATGACTCATACGCGTGATCAACACGTGATCAGAGCTCGATCTCGGCTTCCTTCCAGTACAGCCGTATAGCGTACGACATATGTCGTTTCTGTGGCTTTGCGGTGGTCAACAGCACAGACAAAGATGGAAATAATGGCTGATTGTTCTCTGCCGGTAGAACCAATGAAATCAAAGCCGCGCCTCGACCGGCAGACTCATAGGCGTCGGCAACGCTTTGGAACGTGTTTCGTTGAGCGATCGCATATTGTGTGTTTTTATAAGAATTGTTGTGTGATTGTTATTGTTGTGGTTTCTGTGGTTACTGTTTTGGTTATACTTAAACATGGAGAGTACAAATGGCACGAGTGGAAGTACTGAAAGCCAGGGAACAAGTAGACGGCTTCGTAAAGCACTGAAGAGGGACGCGAAAGAAATCGTGCTCAACGTGTTCAATTATCTGAACAGAACTATGTCGCAGGGAAGTACGACAGGCGTTCCAGAGTGGACCACTCGCAGGGTGGTGCATGAAAAGAAGAAGACTGGAGCTACTACTGATCCAACGTTTAATTTGAAGGGACGAAAGGCCGTTAAATTGGATGACGATAGCAAAATGGCGTTAAGGCGAACCGTACATTCATTCTTCTTTAGGAATGAGATACCAACCCTCAAGGCTGTACATGCAGCGATCAAGGAAAATGAAATCATACCCCAAATGAGCGTCGAGGTAATGAGGAAATCCCTGCACGAAATTAATTTTCGTTACGAAACGCGTAATCGGAAGTCAGTATTGATAGAGAGACCTGTAATAGTCGCCTGGCGTCGAAAATACCTACGCGAAATGATTGAATATAGGCGACAAAGCAGAAAAATCTATTATTTGGACGAGACATGGGCAAATGCAGGTCACACAGTTAAAAAAACCTGGATAGACAAAAACGTAGTGAGTAACCGACAAGGAAGCATTGAAGGTTTGTCAACAGGTCTTCGTGGACCGTCAGGGAAAGGTCAAAGATTGATCTTAACTCATATTGGTAGCGATAGTGGCTTTTTAGAAGAGTGTGAATTGATTTTCGTCTCTAAGAAAGGAGGTGATTACCATGACGAAATGAATGCCAGCTGCTTCGAGAGCTGGTTTCAAGGGGTGCTTCAGCGAGTTGAGCCCAACTCTGTGATCGTCATGGATAATGCTTCCTACCATAGTCGTCGAGCCTAACGTGTACCCACTATATGATCTCGAAAAAGTGACATGCAGCAATGGTTGCGCGAAAAAGGAATCCCATTTGACGGTTCATGTGTGAAAGCGGAATTGTATGAAAAAATTAAACAGCACAAACCTGCGAACATTAGTTACGTGACTGATGAGATGGCCCGTCAATGTGGTGTCACTGTGCTGCGGTTACCGCCCTACCACTGTGAACTGAACCCAATAGAGCTCATCTGGACTCAAGTGAAGGGTTATATTGCGCGCCATAACACAACCTTCAAATTACCAGACGTTAAGGTTTTACTTGAGACTTTCATACAGCTAGTAATGCCCGAAGTTTGTTGTGAAGGAAGAAACAAAAATGTGGCAGCTTGACCACCACATCGACACCATCATAGAGCCAGTTATAGTCAATTTCAACGAGGAAAGCGATAGCGACAGTTTATTACTGTCAGATGTAAGTGGAGCGACGATGAATAAAAGTAATTCCCAAATTTTTGACTTACAATATGTTTCAAACCACTCTTTATTAAAAATGTGACAAATCTAGTTCACCCATGTTAAACATTCATACCCCGCCTATGAACAGCCGACTATTGGTAGTTAAGTGATGTTCACGTGAACATCGATGAGTCATTACAGTTTTAGATAGTTATAGTATAGATCGCTTAACGATGCTATAAATCGCGAAAACTGTATCGTGTCTGTTTGAATTTTTTTCTTCTCCTTTAACTATAAAGCCGTATAGTATCGTCATTATACGATACAGGTCAGAATAATGAAGAAAGCTGGTTCATCTGTATGAATTTTGCATGTGAGCAATATGCAATAACGTAAAAAGTACTGACAATTGCTTTAAATGTAGCGAATCTAAAATAATTCGATACGGGCATAGCAACGTATTGACATAATGTGACTATGCTATAAAAGAGGCGTCTCGGAGACGCTGGCCTTCATCTCCTCCCCTTGCCCCGCACCTCCCAAAGGAGCGGATGCGTCTCTTTAAAAGCCGCCTTTTCGGTTTTATGGCTGTAAATAAAAATATAAATAAACCTTATACCTCTGTCGACAACCATATGTATTTCAAACGCGTGATACATTTTGTTGTTGAAGATTGAAATTGACTATAGATGACGGATGAGATGAGTGACTTTGATCCATGTGGGTAACGTGACACTCGACAAATTTTAAGCCTTTTCCGTTTATCAAATGCGTAGACGACAACGCTTTTAGATTCGTTTACATTTTTTCTGCATCCTTGTGTTACCGACCCGCCATATAGTACGGTCATTATATGATACGGTATAAATAATAATGGAATCTGGTTCATTTGTATAAATTATACATACATTTGAGCAATGTGCAATAACCTAAAAAGCCCTAATAGTTCGATACAATTGGTTTGAATGCAGCGAATCTAAAAGAGCGCGTTATTTCGATACTGTCATAACAAAAAGTTCACATAATGTAACTGCGCTATGAAGACCTGAACCCCTACCCCCCTCCCAGGTGAATCAGCGCGATACAACAGAGCGGTACTCAGGAATATATTTCCAGTTCTATGACGTTGACTGACGACGTCTTGAATAATAATTATGGGCGATACGAATTTTTTCCGCCCTTGGGAACGATCTGCTCAGCGGCCCACAGACATCGAAAATTATAGGTACAATGGCGCTATGAATGATGAAAACCCATCTTGCATCGAACAGTGGTACTGTCAGTACGCATGGTACTGATAGTAGTATCGATGGCAGCAACGATAGTCAGGAATGCCGTCGTATTTGCCAGTCTGTTGATACTCAACAGACTGGCATTAATGTTTATAATGAACTGTTACGTGAAATGGGTGACAACAGCAATAGTAGTGTCCTTAAAAAACAGCCTAACTGACTGGATGGCTCATCCAAGGAAAAGGAGAATCGACAAGGGGACATCTATACCTTTAAGTGCAGCAACAACTGCCAAAGTAAGGAACATAATGTATGATCATTATAACCGAAATGAAATTTCCACAGCAGAGATGGTACTTTGAGAATTGATGGAAATAGGCGAGACCTATAACAATCAACGTTACTTCAAAAACTTGATTCCATCTCATCTCTCATCTCATCCAGACTTGCAAGAGGAAATGTTTGAAAATTTTCAGATCCGTCTCTGTCCTCATGCTTCCACTTCTCGATTTAATAGCCGTTTTATGACTATAGGCAAAAAATGTAAACGAATCTAAAGGCGTTGTCGTCTACTATACCACGATCTCTAACAATTTTTCAACAAACCCCTTTCTTCTTTAAGACAGACTTTACGTTTTTTGGTACAAACGTATTGAAAAGAAACACTTTATTGAGTTCCTTGTACTCGTATAGCTCTAGTATCAACCATCATTTTTAACTTACAGGGTACTACCACAGATTGAGCTTGGTTGAAATATATGGTGAATTGAAATGTCTGCGCTCAAATACTCATCTAACAAAAGAACTTTTAATCAAAATCGTGTGAGTACTTCAACGTAAGATATGCGAGTCGATTCACGATATATTTTCAGTATAAACATTTTCCGGATATTAAAAAGAACAATAGAGCAGCCGGAGATAGCATTAATGACGAGAACTGGTCATATTTAACGATATTGGCACGCCCAAAGGCGATGGAACGTTCTTGAAACGGTTTCGGAATTGACGTTTCCCTCTTGTTTGGTACATACAGAGTGGCCCAAAGAAAAGGTAAATAATAGAAAATGACGTTAATTGTAATGAAAAGTACATTCATTTCCAACAAGAAGTTTTTAGTACCAAGCCAGATTCCATTCAAGATCTTCGTCAGCGGATTATGGCTGAATGTAGATAAATATTTCAAGTCATGCTTGAAAATGTGAGAAAGAGATTCTAACAAAAATCTTTATTATTGCATGGAGGTGAATGGATACCACTTTCAGCATTTATTACCACATTGACCTACCTCTTTATAGCAAATTAATTTTTACTTAAACTTTAATGTGCCTGTCAACAACAGATCAGGCTGTTTTTTGTTGATTTAAAACTCGGAGACTTGTTTTTAATTTTAAAGTAAAGTCTTGTTACTATGGGAACTATATTGATTATTATTTTTACGATAAAATCCCTCATTATCAAAAATTCTAGAATTGAAAATTATAAACCCCAATAGCTTCACAACGATTAAAGATAGGTATAAACTGTATTATCCAAAGGTTACCAAACACTTCATACAAAATCTAAAAATTTAAATTCTATTTAAATGCAATATCTTATTTTTGGATCACCCTGTATTGTACGGCAATAGTTGAAAAGACGTCCGCCAAGAAATCAAAATTGACGTGTCCTAGCGATTTTTTCCAAAATAACCAGGAGTCACAAATGGGGCCACCCTGTATAGGTATCGTTATTTCTTGTCAAATCAATACAATTATTCTGCTCTCTGTCATGAATACTATTACCCGATTTATCCTACACATTTCGCTTTTTTAAAAAGCGAAAGCAGAATGACTAGATCACAATGAGAAAAAGAACAATGTATTCTCACTCTTTACTGACAAGGTTGATATTAATATTAAAAATAATAAAAAAAAATGAGGGGAACTTCACGGATCCATGCAATATTGACCTGAATTAGATGTAATGAAACGACCGAGTTAGTTATCATCTCAAAGTATTTGGCACTGAACAAACTGTTATCCTTGACGATTTTTATCTGAACTTTCATGCATCCATCTGTACCAGTTTTTCAAGGTCACACCATCCATCTCCATCTTATCAAAGACACGTCAGTACCGCCATAATTCAGCCTAGAGTAGCCCAAAAAGATTATGGAAGTATGCATTTAGTATCTAATTACATATTTTGGGCTACTTCTGTTATTCTGAATTAACAAAGAATTACACAAGAAGCGAGATGTGTTCTGGCTCTAAATTGTACGTTACCGAAACTCTGAGCATTTTAAACTTTAAAACAACTATAAATTGGAGTATTTTCCTTTAACGTCCACTTTATCCAAGGTTAACAATTCGTTCATTCAGAATATCGATGATAAATTTCATAGTTCATTCTCTAAATAACAGAAATTAAGATTTCCAGTAGAGGGTCAATGTTGCATACAATTTCCCCTTTTTACTAGTCTTATGCATGCTTGAACTAACAATAAGTTACGATGTGGTATCATCAACTTCCTAGTCCGAGTATACCGCCACTCTTGAACTCTCTCTACCGATTAGAAAGTCAACTCGACCGAAACCAGGGTGAATCTTCCGAGCGGTCCTCGAATTTTCGCACGTATTGACGTACAAACAATCTTCTAAACTTCACAGGGAACAGTGGGCAATTCGGCCAGACTCAATTTGACTACGGTCATCTCTTTACGTCAAGCGACTTGCGTGGCGGCTCCGCCGGTGTTGCAGGGCACCACAGGGACCGTTTGACAGCCCATCGTTGCCATGTTGCTGGCGACAATGTTGCCGATACCGCACGCCTTCAGCTCCGTGAATATTTCCGTGAAGTAACCGGGTTCAGCGTTTATTCGCAGCATGTTCGAGCTGAGGCGGTTTACTATGTCCAAACACCTGCGGATCATATGTTTTTGTTAATAAAAGTAACCATTCCTTATCCTACTGTTCTTTTTGTCAAATATGAGTCATTCATTTTAACAGCTTGTAGAACTCGTCAAAAGAAGTTGATATACGAAAAATCACTTATACAGGGTGTTAGTTTGCTCTATAAACTGTGGTCCAAAAATGCTTCCTTACAAAAACTGGGGGTGTTGAAGTTTTAGGAAAAAAAATGGAAATTAATTAATATTTTCAGAACCGTGACATATTCCAGAGCCACTACGTGGACCTCCGGTAATCCGACAAACATTATGCAGGACAGTGTCGGACTATCGAATTTGTCGGATTATAGAGCACTGCCTAAGACCCCCTATAGTCCGGAATTTTTTACAAAAGAGTAACTTGTAACCTTGTTATCCGAAAAATTACATATCCAATGGTAAGATTATATGTTATGTATATGTATGTACTTTGAAGTACAAATGATACATAGTTTATGTATGTCGAATTTAGTAAATTAAATAACAATAGAGAGCTTACGTTTTATTATAAAATTAAGCATAAATGCACATACATATGTACCACAATAATCAAGAATTATTAATCAAAATCATTAATGAATTTATCAAATCATGAAGCTTGGAAATATTCATCAATTTTTTTTTGTTTAAGGTTGTTATAACGCGAGATCAGAGCTTTGTCCCTCAGTCTTCTCAAAAGTAAAAGTTCGTTGTAGGATGTACCATTCTCTTCAGCCCATTGTAAACCTAGCTCAAAGGCGTTAATTGCGTCTTGTGCTGTGACTTGTGGAGCAGTTGCAATCACGTCGTCGTTATTTTCCTGATTGTTGTATAATTAGAAACCTCTTTTATAATCTCTTCGTCAGACATTTCATGAAAAACATTTTCCTCTTTATCCATTTCGCGGCACCAGATTTCCAAATCTTCCAGACTTATCTGTGTTTCAGTAGCGACTTGTTCTATAACTTCCGAAGTAACACTAATTTTTGGAACGTTGCTAGGCGTGGTGACTATATCTGGCCATAACTTTTTCCAAGGCGATTTAATAGTTGACGACGGTAACGCATTCCACGACTGACAAAGAGCAAAAACCAAGTCTTTCATATCAAATTCTTTTAAAGTTTTTTCTATTGGTTGGTCTTTTGATACGGCTCTCAGAAGTAGGTTTTTCTTATAGTCAAACTGAATGATATTCTGGTCCATTGGTTGAATCAGTGCAGTGCAATTTGGCGGAAGAAACATCGCAGTGATGTATTTATCCTCAGTTGTTAGTTCTTCTTCAGACGGATGGCCGGGAGCGTTATCAAGAAGCAACAACAACAGTCTTTTGAGGAAAATTATGATCTTTTAACCATTTTCTAACTTCAGGTACGAAGCATTCATCAAACCACTTTTTGAAAAGGCCTTTTGTCATCCATACACTTTTTTGTCCGTAATAGTGTCCAGGTAAATCAATGTTTTTGAATGCCCGTGGTTTATTAGATTTCCCAATGACCATCATCTTAAGCGCGTGTGTGCCCGCAGCGTTAGCACATGGTAGTATGGTTACATGCTCTTTACTTACTTTTCGTCCAGGTACGGATTTTTCGTTACAAGAAACGAAGGTTTTGTTAGGCTTCACACGCCAAAAAAGGCCTGATTCGTCTGCATTGTACACCTGTGACGGGTCAAGATTTAAATCGTTCACCTTTTGCAAAAATCTTAATTTAAGGGGCTCTATGCAGGTGGCATCGTTAGAAAGTTTCTCTCCTGTAATAGACATTAAACGTATGCCATGATGACTTTTAAAACGTTCTAGCCATCCTTTGCTGGCCACAAAATCATCTTTTTTGTTATTTCCTTATAAAAAAAACTTAGCTTTCATGGCCAACATGGGTCCTGAAATTGGTGCAAGCTTATTTCTTTCCTGAAGAAACCACATATACAAAGCTTCTTCCACTTCTTGATCTTCTCGTGGTTCCTTTTGATGTCATAAATTGTAGATCGGCCTACGCCGTATTCACTTGCTGAACTACTGAAAGTTTCATTGCGATTTAAGCGGCCTAAAATATCACATTTTTCTTTAATTGTCAATGTTTTGTGCTTTCGCTTCTGAGTTTGTGATGACATTACTAGGTACTATACTTAATACACAATGAATAAATAGTAAACAATGAACGCACGCTAGGCCGTACCGCTATCACCAGTAGTCAAATTCAAACTAAGTAAAACAATGCTTACGCTTCGAGCACGATAGCGGTGGTGGGTACAAGTTGTAACCTGTTCAAACCTGCGTGATCTGCATTAGCGAAGAATGTCAAATACGTATGTATGTAATATTCAAGACATGTCGGATTACAGGGAGCACCGGATTAGACAAGGGCCGGATTATCGGAGGTCCACTGTAGATATTTATTGCTAAATTGCATTCTTCAATTATAACATTAATTTTCTCGGAAAATAGAACGGGTTTTTGTTTTTTTTACTAAAAAATAGCGCATCGAAGGAAAACTATTCAAAGGAGATCATTTGTTTCAAATTGAACGGGTAATTCACAAATAATTTTTATTTTGCAAAAGACCATTGGCATACCGTTTTTTTATTAAAATATATCGAAGTCAATACCCGTACGCACGCCACTGTTAAAGCTAAAAATTATTTTTGTATTGAGAAATATGTAACTTTATTAACTTCCACTACGTACTAAATATCAGTGAAATATCTAAAACGGTTCTGAAAATATTAATTAATTTCCATTTCTCTAAAACTTCAAAACCCCGAGTTTTTGTAAGGAAACATTTTTGGACCGTAGTTTATAAAGCAAACTAACATTAATTTTTCAAGTAGATTTACAGCCTTAAATATTCGCATATGATTAAGGATTATTCAATAATAGAATATTGACATGAATCTAAAAAAGAACTGTTGAAAAAGTTGAGGTTTGAAACTTTCATACGATGACCACATTATTTAGTAATCCAATGTTTCCACAAGGTGTTCAGAAATGTATTGCAAAATGCACCTTTTAGTTGCACCCTGTATAATAACAAACAACAAGATTGACAGTCGGTAATGATGAAAATGAAATTACTTACACCTTGACGAAAAAATTAACGAAATTGATGCAAAGGCTAAAAAGTTATTCAAAATTTAATTTGAACAAATTTTTTTTTGTTCGGTTAATTTTGCGTGGCAGAGTATTTCTTTTATTATGCAACTTTTATAAACACATACAGGTGATTTTTGGTATATCAACTCCTTTTGACGAGTCCTACAAGCAGTTAAAATAAATGACTCAACTTTGCAAACACCCTGTATAATAATCGTCGTTATTGGGAATATGCGATACAAACAGGCATATCCCCAAAAGGCGGACTTCACGTAAAATGAGTTCTTCCACTCAACCCTGAAATGACAAAAAGAAATAAAAGAAATGGAGGAAGAATACAACAAATAGATCGTATTTGTATGAACGCAAAAGGAATAATTGTGCATTTTTTGATTCATAAAAATAAAATCTAAAAACACCTGCTAGTTCAATAAATCCTAGCTACCACTAAATCACAAACAAAAATGAGGGGAATGATGATATAACATAAACCCTAACACGATCTTTTGAAAGATGACAGTGTCAAAGATTTGAGTTCTATAGGCATAATTGTAGTCACCGTTCTTGACGGTTACGTCATCAACGCCATATGAAATAAGTAAGCAGACTGAGTCTCCGTACCAAGGGCGGAACACTGCGGAGACTAATCCTCAACGCATCTGCTACTCTCTCCAGTACGCATGAAGGGGACCGCTGTCTTCATTCTCTTCCAGGAAATACTCTATTAAATTTAGCACGAGCTGCCGGCCTCCTCCATTGATCGTATTTCCGGGCACTGTACAATTTTATATTGAAGATTGATAACAGGACAACTCAAATTGCGCGCCGATGTCATGTAAGTTGTCACTCTGACAGATATGAAGCGCACTCACACGTAACGACAAAGTTATCGAGACGGAGACATACAGCTAAAAAACGTATGTCCTTGAGCTTACGCAACAAACGTTCACACACCGGAGGTTGCATGTGTATAATAATAATAATAATAATATTTATTCACTCAATGTACAAAGATAACAAACAATATGAGTAAATAAATATAAAATCAAAACAGGCCCAATTGAAGGCATCGCCTGTACATGGACCAATAAATTTAAGTTGAAACTGTAGAATACAAATGACAAAAAAGGACAAAAATTAGCTACAGTAGATTATGTATTTAGTTGATGTTCGTATTTATGAGTTTATGAATTTCAGTCCTAGATATAGAATGTAGCCACTTTTTTAAATTTCTTTTGAAACAATTTCCGAAACGTAAATCTTTTAAGTCTTTAGGTATAATTTCATAAAATTTAGGCGCTAAATAGAGATATGATCGCTGCATTATAGATTTATGCGGTTGAGGAACTACTGTGCCACGAATTTTGTACCTGGTATAATGATTATGTTTAATTTTTTGGTCGGTGTTTACAAATTTATGGTAGTGAGTGATACTGTGTAAGAAATAAAGCTGCCTTATATCATACATTCGAACATCTGCGTATAATTTTTCAGTGGGATAAAGTTTCGGTTTTTTAAATATCATTTTTAGAAAACTCTTTTGAAAAACATCTAAATTATAGATATGTGAGGAACATGCAGCTCCCCATGCTAATATACCATATGTGAGATGAGGCTCAATCAGTGCATGGTATAATGTTCGAAGATATTTTTCTGTCAATATATTCCCAAGGTATTTAATTTTGTAGGATACAAATCTAACTTTCTTTAAAATATAACTGACATGGATGTCCCATCGTAACTGAGGATTCAAGACCAATCCAAGGTATTTTATGTTGGGCACTCTATTAATTTGCATTTTTTGATCATTAACATTGAAGGAGAAATTTGTGTAATTTGGCAGATGTCTAGCATAAGATCCAAATGGTAAAAAATGTGTTTTAGAGTAGTTAATGCTTAATTTTCTA